ACCTAGCTTAGTCAGCTCTACCTCATCCCCCCCTACTCTCCTGCAGCTGAGGGCAGTCTGCTCTCTCGTTATAATTTGAAGCAATTATGGAGTTAATTAGCAGTGCCAACATCCTATGGCTCCAAAATTTCCTCTCCGAAGCTGTTTTTCTTCCACAAACAATCCTCTCAGCACATAACACACAGAACCATAGCATTATTCAGCTCAACTTGACTTTTTCTCGGCTTCATTCATTGTGTGTCCTACTTTCTGGCTGATATGATTGAGGATCAACTATAATACACCCATCCATGGACCTGTGTGCCCTCAAAATAACTCAGATGAGAGGGAAGTAAGTTTATTCAAGTCAAGTGAATAAATCTAATCAGTTGGCGTTACAGTTTATTTGCTTGATTAAATCGCAAGCCAGGGTTCCCATTTCAAACTCCGATAAGGGTCAGATTTATTCATTTATATAAATTTATGTTACGGGAAGTCACCCAGTTACAAGATGAAGACCTTGTGCATTTGCGAGGGTCCCTATCTACCCGAGTGAACGAGACGACACGTTCATTTCAACAAGTATTTGAAGGGATGTACATGGAGGTATACCAGGAATTAGTGATCAAGGCATACCTTCATCAATAAATCTTATTTGGATGATATAAAGAAATAGTTGAATGACCTATAGTCTCCTTAAAATAACTTAGACAGGGCAGATGACCCATAGAGAGGGTGGTGAGATGTTATGGGGTAGGAGGCAGGTTGGTTTAAAAAGTGCAAAATCAACCTCCTGTGAGAACAAATTTCCAGTTAGATTTACTCTGAAGACATAGATAGGAAGCTAGTTGTAGGCTTCTTTTGAGCCTCAGCAGCCTTCTTCTTCTTCTCTGCCTCCTCTTTCTTCTTCTTATCGTCCTTGCGTTTCTTGCCACCGGGGAAGATGTTACTGCACATTTCATCAGAACATTGTTGATGGATTGATTGAGGGGAAGGGAGGACTTACCGGATCTTCTCCCACAGACTCTCACGAGCTTCGAGCTCTTCAAAGTCGCGCTCAAGAGGGTCCGAGTCATCAAAGTCGCGCTCAAGAAGGTCCGAGTCGTCAAAGTCGCGCTCGAGGAGGTCAGAGTCGTCGGCAAGGTCCCGCTCTGAGAGGTCAGCGTCATCGGCTTTGGGGTGTTCCTTGCGGAAGAAGCGGCTGTTTTTTTAAGGGTGTACCATCAGCATGAGGTCAAGCAAGGAGAGAGGAAGGAGACTTACGAGATGCGTTTCTGCAAATCACGCTCCATGAGCTCATCCAAGTCCCTCTCGAACAGTTCTGCATCAATGTCGAGCTCTCTTGTCGTCAGCTCGGAGGAAGAAGGCGAAGCGGGGT